AAAATCCTTAATGAGTTATTTTCTGATCTATATTCCCAAGTTCCCAGAAGAATGCCTCAGTGTCACGTATTCAAAGTGTCGTGTCTGCAAGGCTGGCTCTTTAATGTTCAATATGGTCTCTATCTTGAACTACTTATCAGTTTGACTACAGTAATTTGTATTCAGACAACAGCATTGATGAACACAAAATATTTCTTTCCTACTTCTTTATGTATAGCATGAACTACATAGTGTGGAATTATATATATATGTGTGTGTGTGTGTGTGTATTCTACTTTAAACTTCCAGAAATTAAACACTATAAACATATTTATTCATATGTCTCTCCTTTCCCCAAAAGGAAAGCACAACTACACCATTGAATCACTGATATCTTAAATTTCTGACCTTCTAGATGTCATCTCAAATGTAAACAGTCTATATTGTTCCTACTCTCAATTTCTTCCTTGAATACATGTAGACCTTATTGTTCCTACTGAGAAGCACCCTTCTGTCTTTTTGTTTTACATTCTAAAGACATTGCCCATAAGTTTGTGTGTAAGGGAGCTGATTATAGATTGAATCAAACAATAAGCAGCAGGGCTGCTGCCAGACAACTTCATTTAGCTGCTTCCCTTCAAGTCTGCCTATCACAGAGCAATCTGAGTTCTGTGGATATCAGTAACCCAAGCCATACTTTGGTCACAATATTTATATGTCTTTATTTATTTTCTCTTTATTTAATTTATTTGATTTTTCCATCCTAACATTTCTCTCTGATACCTGGAAGTTATCCTAGTTGCTAGGTCTAGTAAACATCAAATGGAGGTCAAACCTGCTCAGTATTTAATCAGATCAGTACAACTATTCCATGCAGAACAATAATTGAAGGTTTTTTTTTAATAGAATAAATTTTTAAGTGTAAAGAATGATACTAAATAAAAATTTTTAACACATAGTTGAGTGACAATTGTAGTGGATATATGAGCTGGTGAAATCATTCTTGGCATAATAGTAATTATAAATTTTTAAAGTTTAATCCTAAATTCAAATGAAACATTTTTTCAAGGTTTTATATTTGAGTCAAGTAAATAAAATAGTTGATTTTTTTCAGAAAAATTTTGCTGCTTCCCTCCCCACATATTGCGCACACACACCCCAAAAAAGGAGAAGAGCTTGTTGCTTGTTTTTATAATCATTATTGTTCTATCTTACAAAAATAATGTGTCAGTGTGTTAGGATATTAATTAGTCACACACTCTAGATTACAACTGAAGACCAGGAAAGGCCAGATAAAGTGAATGATGATCTTTAAGAATAATTTAAGTGACATTAGGGGAAAATCTTTTCCGAAGTAATTATGAAGGCTGAGCAATACTCTTAGATCTTTGCAAAACTGAGTTTTGCATTGGCTGGACTATAGTTGAGCAGTTCAATGTAAACTTCCAACTATAGTGATCTGAAATGATTCTGCTGTTAAGAACACTGAACCTAACAATTTAAAAACAGAAGCTTAAATGAATAAATTCTTTCATTGGATGACAAAGTAGTATATAAAAATGCTGCCAATGCACATTATTTGGGTAATTAGCAAACTATGTCTCATCTGAGTCAGCAATTTATTTAACTTCTCTCATTTTGTATTCTTAGGTGAGCTACAGTTTTGTTTAAATATAGCATCAGAAATCAACAAATTCGTGCAAACATGTAGTATCAATTTATCAGGTCTAAAGAAATACGATTTGGTTGGCTGGCTGGCCTTAGTAAAAACAACAACTACTATTTTTCCCCATATAAAATTCATAGTGGCTCTCTGCCTTCAATTTATTTTAGTTGAAAAGATAGATAAATAGATGAAAGATAGATGATAGATGGTAGATAGATGATAGATAAATATAGATAGATATTGATAGAAAATGATAGATGATAGATGATAGATAGATGATAGATGATAGATAGATAGATAGAGAGAGAGATAGATAGATAGATGATAGATAGATAGATAGATAATGGATGGATAGAGATAGATAGATGATAGATAGATAGATAGATAGATAGATAGATAGATAGATAGATAGATAGATAGATGATAGATGATAGATAGATGATGATGATAGATAGATAGATAGATAGATAGATAGATAGATAGATAGATAGATAGATAGATGATAGATAGATGATAACAGACAGATAATCTACATCAAACACATGACATAGAAATCCAGAATAAGGGCAATTCAATTCAGTATTGAAGAGTAAAACTAGAGCTTGACAGAGTAGCTTGCACATTAAAAGCTTAGGGCATCATCTTTTACTCAATGATTTGCTTTGCTTTCCATGCAATGACTTAACAATAGAATTTTGGAATCCAGTTAGTTTTGTTTAAAATTTTTCTTGGAGATACTACAAGATTTCTTTAAATTATATATAAAGTAGAAGTTGCTCTTCAGAGAACTGACATGTTTTCATAGAAGTCTTATATAAACAGAAAACTATTTGACCAATCTACCAGAATGGTTATAAATTGGTGCTACTAAAACTGGAATTATAAAGGGGATACTCTCCAGTTAATGTAGAGACAAATAATCTCATCACGTTGCTTCCCTACATGTTCCATATTGAATGATTATTTTATTAGTAAGTCAATTTTGTATGGATGTAGAGATTTATTTGAATGAAACTGGAGCTATTCAATATTATTTCAAGAGGAATTAAATACAAATCCTGGGTTTTGTCCTGAGTGGCATAAGCTATAGTCAGCAATCAAATTTCAATATGAATATATTTGTGACATAGAATTATAGGTAATAAGCTACCCATTCTTCCATTCATTATCTCTCTAACACACACTTGCACACACACTCATGCTCCCTTTATTCTTCAAGAGCCCTTCTATCTAATGCACAGCAATCTCTCCATAATGCTGTTTTTGGGGTTTGTGCCAGCAAGCAAGCCGTAAGTTTTCTTCAGGAGCTTAAGTTAATGGTTAGGTTTTACACCAAAATTCACTTAATAGCAAATAAAGTTAAAAGAGTTCCTGCCATCTTTTTGTATTGCATTTTAATATGTTCTTATTTATATGACTCTTGAGTATTTGAAAGCGCTTTTATTTAAAAAGGCCTCATGACAATTTCCTTAAATCGTTATGTAGATTCAGTAAAAGAGAATGCATATGACCAGAAGGCGATCTTTACTTGGAGCCTACTTTTTAAAAGTCAGCCTCTGTCTGGAGGATAATTTAATATTTTCAGGTTTATATACACACGCATACAAACATACACACATGCACATATACAGGCACACAATAGAGATTGTGTGTTTTTTTCTTAGAATTTTATTCTTGTAGGAAAAGAAAGACTAATCATCTGCATTTCTTCATATTTTTCAAAATCTATTGCTTGCTATAATGATCCTAAAGAATTTCTTGTCCATATGTTTATTGTGGGTATAGATTGATTTTACTCAATTGATAGGTACTGTTATTACAGTCTAGTTTTCACAAATATAATTGTGAATTAGATTTTTACAAATTGCATAAAATAAGTTTTACCACAAAATTGACCTATTATTTTGATTTTCTATAATGGATCTGCAATAAGAAATAAATTTAATTTGTAAAAATTAGTTTTATAAACTTGTTGAGTTTGGAAATTATATGCCTTAATATAATCAATCAATTTATATGTAATATATTTCTAAATATTTTCTACATAATATATAGTGTATAAAATGGAATACACTATGAAATACTTTCTACATTTTTACCAAATTTATACTAAATGCAAAAATATATTAGAGTAGGTGTTTATTTTACTAGTTCTAACAAACAGTATAAAAGCTATTGTCAGCAAAATGAAAGAATGTATTTAAAGTATTATAAAAATAATAGATTTGACTCTTCTCTCTGTAACTTCAACACATGGTAAGTCCTCACATAATGTCATCCATAGGTGCTGTGACTTTTACTGAAATGGTGTATAACAAAACCAATTTTACCACAGACTAATTAATATAAACCAGAGTTAAGTTCCTATGACACCTTGCTATTATAATGACATTGCATGAATCGAGGTTATTTGAGGACTTGCTACTGCATAAGAAAGTCATTCAGCTGTTACTGCCACAGTATTTTTTCTGTCTCCCTTTTTTCAGTTGCCTTTGCCACTCTGTCAATTCAGACCCCTATAACCTCTCCCCACCCCATTCTTCCTATCGTGTGATGTACGTTTCTCCTCATCAGATTCACTACAAAGAAGGGCTTTAAACATTCCAGAAATATGAATCAGAACTTTTCAAAAATCTTCAATTATTCTACACTTTTTTTACTTTTTTTATTGTTGATACTATTACAGATGTCTCCATTTTTCCCCCTTTGCCCACCTCCACCCAGCCCTTGCCCCACCTTCCCTCTGGCCATCACCACAGTGCTGTCTGTGTCTATAGGTTATGCATGTATGTTCTTCAGTTAATCCCTTCACCTTCATTATACAGTTTTCTAATTGTGCAAATCTCCTCAGTTTAAGCATTTGATGTATTCCAAAATGTGGTATAAAATTACCTCCAGCACAGTGATTCTTTCCATGGACCATCATCAAAAAAAATGTGCATCTATATATACTTGCAAAGAGTTGCATCTGATTTTATGCACAAGTTTTAGAAAAATACATCTTCCCCACCCTCATCTCCTGCCACTCTGCTGCACATACTTTAAATTCCAACCATGTTAGACCATGAGCAACCTGAGGACTGACACAGTGTTTTATGGGAAAGCACATTCTCATATGTCCCGTGATACTATCCCAAATATCCCCACCAAGTAACTTGGCCTCCAGATGTCTCCCTTGAGGTCTTTCAGAATGTTTCATTCCCTTTATCTGCCCCTTGTTGCCTATTACCTGGATAACTTGGGGAAGATAAATGTCATTTTTCAAGTTTTAGTCTTTACTATTCTTCCTAAAGTAAATTCTTTTATTCTGGTGGGAAATAATTTTTTACTAAAGACCTTGTACTCAGCTTGATGAACACAAGCTTCAGTTGTACTTAAATTTAATGCTTATTTGATTCATGTCAAATCAAAAGGGTATTCTAAGGTGTCTTATTATTTTGATTTTGTAGGTTTCTTGAGCACAGGAGATCAGGCTGCAAAAGGAAACTATGGACTCCTTGATCTCATACAGGCTTTAAGATGGACTAGTGAGAACATTGGATTCTTTGGTGGTGACCCCTTAAGAATCACTGTTTTTGGATCTGGCGCTGGGGGTTCATGTGTCAATCTGCTGACTTTATCCCATTATTCTGAAGGTAACCGTTGGAGCAATTCAACCAAAGGTATTATGCAGGTTGCAAATTTTGACAATTTTGGTGTCTGCATGCCACCACCATCAGTAGTATGTGATGCTCTGTGATATATTTATCTGTTCAAACTGAGTGTCAGGTTGAACTTGAATTCAATAACTGTTTAAAATTTTGTTTCTTCAGCTTTTGTATGCATGTTCAGATTTTTGTCAAACTCATTGTCTCCTGTGGAGCTGGGTAAGGATGCCCTTCCAAGCACACTTCAGAATAGTTAGCATCACAGTTACTTTTCTTTCCTCCAAAGGGTGATTTTGAGGAAAATCAAGAATGTTCACAGTTCTGTCATCTCTATTTATTCAGTAATCAAAATCAAAAACAAGGTTGTTCTTTTTTTTAATTTAAGGATTTTATATAATCTACTTTTAAGACAAAAGACATTTAAGACCCCTTGCTAGTAAGAAAGAAATAGTTATAAGCTAGTTTGTCTAGATATTAGAGTTTCGCTTGTCTGAGCAGAGAATAGATGTTTGATTATTTTGCATGCATGATCCAAAATTGTCAAAGCATTGAGGTCACCAGTAAAGTTTTTGATTTAAAAAAAATAGGTTTGAATTTGTGCTTTTTTCTATTTTCAACTCCACAAATGTTTTCCTCCGAAAAGCTGGGCAAAGCAGCATGGGAGCACTGAGGCTGCTTAAACCCATGAAACATTTTTCTTGTCTCCACTTTCTGGCCTTGACATCATTTTTAAGTGCCTGCCCAAAGCTCATTATGTTTTTTTATTGACTCTCATCTTACCATGAGTTTAGTCATTCGTTCAACTTATATTATTAACTTATATCCACAAGAACAGAAGTGTTTTATTGGAGAAGTTTGCAAAAGCAAATAGTTTCTCTCCATTAAACATACATAAAAGATAAAACGATAGAAAATAGACATCAACATAGACTATCTTATATTTTATACTTTTTGTCATTTTATATATATTACGAAAGTATACATTGTCAAGTGTTCATGAAACATCTTAATTTATAAGACTGAGTTTTATGATATAAGCACCAAATATAGAATATTTCTGTCTGGTATCAAAGATATATTAATGTAGAATTTCAAGAGATCAGCCAGTAATTAAATGAGTATATGTACTTGGAGAATCATACATTATTATAGATCTAATTTATAAACATAGTTTCTATAGGATCTCATATGTAGTAGTAGAGTTCTGACTCCAGATGACAAAATGACACATATGAGAACATTTCCAACTGTATAGAGATTTGGTCTGTAATGAAATGGCCTATTTTGAAATAACAAACTGAGTTGTCATTGTTGTTTTTAATAGAACAGATTATATTGTTCTAACCTAGGGACTAAAGTAAGCCAATATTTATCTAGGTTAACATTAGATAATCTGTTCAGACTTCTTAGGGTCATTTGATTGCAAATGTTATTTCTTCCTAGGTTTTCTAAAACGTTTTGTAAATGTAAAGCAAAAATGGACACCAAAACCAGTTTCAGCCAGTATGAAACTAGCTAGCATTCTATGTAAAGAGATGAATTAATTAGTAGCATTGCCCTTTGTCATCAGTGATGTAGGCAAGTGGTTATGCAAACAGTTGAAAATGCAGCATTCCTTCCCCCTCTGCAAGGAACTCTGTCCACAGCCAGCAACACAAATGGACTTATATTTGATCTAGTCCTAAGCCTATCTGCACAAAGCTGCCCGATTTGACCAGGAGATGCTTGGGAGATGTGTTGAAATCACAGGCTAATTCTGTCTCCAGTGCAGACATAGACTTTAAAGTGTGCTAACTCCCCAGGGCTGCAGCGTGCTCAGGTCTACATCAACCAGGAGTCAACCACAGCTTGTGTACACACAACAAGCACTCTCCCTAATGATAAAATATATGGTTTTCCCAATGCTATACAGATGGTATATTTCAAACTATATTTAATGATATGTATTTTCCCCAAAATCTTTTTTGTTAATCTATATAGTTAATGTCCTTAAGCTCCTGAAAGGGGAAAGGATGTTATAAAAATCACCAGGTTTATTTTAATTGTAAAGTTTTTAATTAGTAAAATATTTCTCTAAGCAAATGTTGACACATAGCCTATATAGTTTTTTGAAATTATCTGTATTTGTATCATTTACTCTAGCAAACTTTGCTCTAACAAACTAAAAATATGTTCACAAAGATGTCAGAAATCAAAACAAATTTAAATTAGTATTGTTTGACTTTTTGAATATTTTTAGAATTATCTAGGAACATTACAGACTGCATTTTGAATATATACATGTGTTTGGAGAAAAATCTAAAATTTTGTTTCTAATTCAGACTGTTTTAACACCTTTGTGAAAACTGTTCTTATCTCATTAACTCACATGGATAATTGAGCATGTGTTTAAATAACAAAACCACAAGGCTGCACTTGAAAAATGATGACAAATGTAATTTTTATAAAGCAAATAGATAAAGTATATTTTTAACACAAAGATTTGAAAATATCTTAATAACTAGATAAAGTGTATTTGTAAATTTGAATGGCATGCAGTTCTAATCAAACTACATATGGGACCTGTGATTTGAAATTTTTAAATGCAATTAAGTGAAAAGCAGTGGACCATGAACTTTTCATCTCTTATGATAAAATGTAACAGGGCACATTCAACACTGAAAAAAAAGGTTAAGTCACATCTCACAAAATCCTTCTGCTGATGGTTTTTTCTTTAACCTAGTGAAAACACTTCAAATGTTATGTCTGAAAGATGAATATTCAGCATACTATGTCTGACAGGAAGAGCTGGAAAGAGTATGTCTAAAGTGATATTCTGTTTTGTGTGCCTCAGGGTCTTCCCCAGGGTTTCAGCAAATCCACAGCCCCAGTAGTTATGTGAACTCTCAACAATTCTTTTTCAAATAAAATCTGATTAAAACAAACATATAGAGCCATTTTGAGGAAGACACATGCAGCCAAATTGGAAGAAATATCCTCAAAAGACAACATAGAATCTGATGAAGAGATAAAGGGGAGTGAGTCGGCCCCATCTGGTTAGCTCTGACAATAATATAGGTGTTTACATACTGAGCACAGACATATGTGGGGCTTTTTAGTCCTAGTACTTACATGCTCTCCTCCTCTTCTTGCTTACCACCTCTTTGAGAGAGGCACAATTTATGCCTCCCCTCTTGATCCTAAAGTGGCTGTAACTCAAAGCAGAAGACTTAGCCCACCTCTTGATTTGTTATACCCTGGGGGATGCCTTTATGTACCTTCTTTTAAGCAAAAATGTCTTTATCTCTTGTTCTTGAATTGTATCCGGGTTTTTATATACACGTCTAAAATATCTAATGTTATTCTTTTACCACAACATTATTCAAAGGTCATCTGAAATTCTTTGTTGTTTTTCCCATAGGACTTTTTCAACGAGCAATAGCTCAAAGTGGAACAGCCCTTTCCAGCTGGGCTGTTAGTTTCCAACCTGCAAAATATGCTAGAATGTTGGCCACAAAAGTTGGTTGCAATGTTTCAGATACAGTAGAATTAGTGGAATGCCTGCAGAAGAAGCCTTACAAAGAACTTGTTGACCAAGATATTCAACCAGCACGATACCACATAGCCTTTGGACCTGTGATTGATGGTGATGTAATACCAGATGACCCTCAGATATTGATGGAGCAAGGAGAGTTTCTCAACTACGATATAATGTTAGGAGTTAACCAAGGAGAGGGATTAAAATTTGTTGAAAATATAGTAGATAGTGATGACGGTATATCAGCTAGTGATTTTGACTTTGCTGTTTCCAATTTTGTTGATAATTTATATGGATATCCGGAAGGCAAAGATGTTTTGAGAGAAACCATTAAATTCATGTATACTGACTGGGCTGATCGTCATAACCCTGAAACCAGAAGAAAAACATTACTGGCCTTGTTTACGGACCATCAGTGGGTGGCACCAGCTGTCGCTACAGCAGATCTCCACTCAAACTTTGGTTCACCTACATATTTCTATGCCTTTTACCATCATTGCCAAACAGATCAGGTTCCAGCTTGGGCTGATGCAGCTCATGGAGATGAGGTTCCCTATGTACTAGGAATCCCCATGATTGGACCTACAGAGTTATTTCCTTGCAATTTCTCCAAAAATGATGTGATGCTGAGTGCAGTTGTTATGACATACTGGACAAATTTTGCTAAAACTGGGTATGTACCTAAGGAATAAAGTTTTCTATAATTTAATACAAATATCCCTTTAAGCATTTAAAAATAATATATATTTTGTGCCCAAATGATTTAATAGATTAATACCAGAAATATATTAAGTTCCTTTCTTCAAAATTCCNAATATATATTTTGTGCCCAAATGATTTAATAGATTAATACCAGAAATATAATAATTTCCTTTCTTCAAAATTCCATACTGTGGTATTTCAAAGATTACTGCTTTATTAATTCTTACCTTTTAGAAGTTTATTAAGAAGACTTATACTTCTATTGCACTACTCAATAATTAACTTTATTTTGGTGTTTTACTTGAGCAAGACACTATTATTGCTGTTCAATTGTGACAAATATTATTTTATAGTGCTCTCCAGTTTGCAGTACTATATGCCTTTGATCCTTCCAACTACATTGCTAAGTGGGCATGTCAAGTGCCCTTAATCCCATTTTACAGAGAAAGGACTTGAGGCTATCCGAGCCTCATATAGACTCAATATGTTCAATATGTCTAGTACGTAGCAGTGTTAGGACTCAAATTCTCACCTGCCAATTCCAAATCCTGTCATTTCCACTACTCCATGCTATCTCTGCTAGTTTGCCTGTGAGACAATGAATAGGTATATAAATTTTAAAATCTTTGCGTAGATAGCAGCCCATCTATAAAGGAATGTGAGGCTTACTCACATTACATTATCGTCCATTGACCACTCTGCCTGCAATGGGATTCTGAACTGACCCCAGTTGTTGTTAAAACACAATCTTAAGCCTTGCTGAATTACCTCTTCAACTAGATGTTAACCTGGTACTATTTCTATTAAGGAAAAGAATAAAATAATTTTGTTCTCATGATTGGCTTTTTTCTTTCCTAGTGACCCAAATCAACCAGTCCCTCAAGACACAAAATTCATCCATACCAAACCCAACCGTTTTGAGGAAGTAGCATGGACCAGATATTCCCAGAAAGATCAACTTTATCTCCATATTGGATTGAAACCAAGAGTTAAAGAACATTATAGAGCTAATAAGGTGAACCTCTGGTTGGAGCTGGTACCTCATCTGCATAATCTCAATGACATTTCTCAGTATACCTCTACAACAACTAAAGTGCCATCGACTGACATCACTTTCAGACCTACGAGAAAAAATTCTGTACCTGTCACATCAGCCTTTCCCACTGCCAAGCAGGATGACCCCAAACAACAACCTAGTCCATTTTCAGTGGATCAAAGGGACTACTCAACAGAGCTGAGCGTCACTATAGCAGTTGGGGCGTCACTGCTGTTTCTGAACATCTTGGCATTTGCAGCCCTGTACTACAAAAAAGATAAGAGGAGACATGATGTTCATAGGAGATGCAGCCCTCAGCGCACTACAACCAACGATCTGACCCACGCACAAGAAGAGGAGATCATGTCCCTCCAAATGAAGCACACTGATTTGGATCATGAATGTGAGTCCATCCATCCACATGAGGTGGTTCTTCGGACCGCCTGCCCCCCAGATTACACACTAGCTATGAGGAGGTCACCTGATGATGTTCCCTTAATGACACCCAACACCATTACAATGATTCCCAACACTATACCAGGGATTCAGCCCTTACACACATTCAATACATTTACCGGAGGACAGAACAATACGCTGCCCCACCCCCATCCCCACCCCCATTCACACTCAACAACCAGGGTATAGCCAGATGAGAGAAACAAACTCTATTTTTTTGATGGATTGCAGTAAAAGATTACTGAAGATTCCTTGGCTTTCAACCTACAAAACGCTTACTATTTAAATAAGGAGGAATATTATGTGAGTATACATATCAAGAACTTTGGGGGTTTTGAAAAAAATGAATTGTATATATATATACACAAATCAACTTTAAAAATGAATCTCAATTGCTTGAAGCAATTGTTCTGAATGATACTTTTTCATTCACATTCAAGAATTAATTTTTTGAAGATTTATGTTACATAATGGAATTAGGCATGTGGAACACCAAACAGGAAAGAACTGTGTCTGAAATATAAAAAAATAAAAATTAAAAAAAACAACCATGAATATGCACAAGGGACACACCAATGGAATGTCAGATAATTTTCACCAGTTTTTATTTGGAGCCGTTTTATTGTGTAGACCATATTTACATATTTGGATAAATCCACAAAGCACCAATGCTGTTAATGGCCTTAGCGGAGGCTCATGCTGAAATTTGCCAGTAAAACAGAGAAGTTTAAAGACTGGCAGGTACAACACTATCACATAAGTGCTGTCATAGTAATAAAGTTGTGGGGGTAAAGGAAACTGGATATTTTTAGCACGATGTGCATGATAATTTATATGCTTGGTGGCTGTGCTGCTGATTAAGCCGTAATTAAAATTCTTCTCATCCCATTGGAGTTTTTAATAGAAGCTTCCTCCATCAATTGGCAGAACCTAAAGAAGATTTTAAGGGGCAAAAGTAAATACAATTAAATAATTCACAGTAGTTTTGATAATAGAAGGAATTAGCTATTAAAGGTATTTGAAGAAACCATAAGTATAGTGGTGAACACTCGCTGATATGAATCCCAGAACAAACAAGTTCCTGTGTTTTTAATGTTCTTTTCATTCCCATCTAAATAATTTATAAAAAAATATAACCCTAATTGGACATGTGTTACCGGATCCATAATTTGCTGTGGTTTTTGTTACTCTGTATTTTGTTCCTTTTGGTAAGGTGAAGTGTGTCCAAAGAGTTACTTGCAACAGTCTTTTATGATATGAGGATGCCCCAAATTACCACTCTGGTTATAGTTCTCAGTTAATTGATTTACTCATGTTGCATGACAAAATGTTTACTAATAATAATTCAGTATAAAGTTATGTCCCTTCTCACATCACTTATCTTTCTGACTGAGGTTCATTCACTGGAATTACTCGTGCAATCTCAGTAGAGTACAACGTAGATACAGAACCTAGAAGGAGAGTCAACACCGGAAGGATTTTAGTCTTACACGTATGTGTGATTTTAAATGAATATTCTAAGACCACAGGAAACTCTTCATCCCCTGTTGTTTACCAGTAACAGTATATCACAGACCTTTCCAAATGTTTGTATATGTAATCAGATGTACATTTATATTAAAAAAATGAGATGGACTTAAAGAGCACATCCTGATAAATACTTTCTCTCTTACCTGTACTATATTTCTATTAGACTAAAGTTATGTGATTTTTTTTTACATTTTTTCAGATGACTAGCAATTTTGATAGTTTGTAAGATAATGCAAAGAACTTTCTCTGACAAACTAACTGCAGTAACAGAAACCTTTCTTTTCAGTTACTCTTTTTCAAGAATGAAAGCTTATTATACAAAAAAAATTGTATACTACTTGATGGAAACAACTTTGTACATCTTGGCCATGTCACTGGTCATTGCGTGAAATAAAGATAAACTGGATAATGACTATTAGTCCAATGATAAGAGACATGATCTTTGCTCATTAAAGAGCTAAAATGTTTATTGCTGTTTTGTCTTTTTTTAAAAAAAAAGAAACATGACTGTCTCAGAGTCATTTTTCTAGACCTATCGAATTTTTGAAGACATACAGATAACTTCTTCAGAAAACACACTACGGATTTATAGGCAAGTCTCATCTAAGATGAAACTGATGAAACATTAACATTATGAATTTATAAGCCCAGGAACTCGTGAAAAAATCATCTCAGTATTTTTAAATACCTCTATGTGAAAGTGTTATAGAAGTAAAATGTGCCAATTTTTTTTTTTTTTTTTTTTTTTAGAATCACAGGTTCCAATTCTGATCATCTAGGAAACGGTCTATTGGAAATAAATGTGTGATGTTTCATGAAATGAGAATAGCTAGGTTCATAACATAAGGGTGATTGAACTATCATAATGTAATGGATAGAAAGTTATCCTTCTGAGAGAATTTAAAAGTGCTGAGTAAGACACTAAGCTGACACTAAACGATAAAATCTTCTATTTCAAGGAACTTCTTTGCTTAAAATTCCCTCCCCTAATTATTAACTGTCAGTAAAATGTAGATATTGCTCCATAACTTCAAATAAAAATTTCTGTTATAAGCAAAAATTCTTCAAAATCCAGAGTGGTCTACATGCAGTTTTGCCTGGTGTGGCTATGCTTTTAGACTGTGCACTGCGAATGTAAACCAATAAAAACGATTGTTTAGCATTTGAAATATTGTTGAATCAGAAAACTGTCTTTTACTCTAATGATTAAATAAGATATAAAAACAGAAACGGAAATATAACAAAATAAACTATGAATGGAATCTTTCAAATGCATTATTTCACTTGGCAAAACCAAACATTCTATTTTACTGATGGCCATAATTATATCTAACTACCTATTGCTTTAAATTTATCTGTCAATCAGTCTGCATATCTACACCATATCTGACATCTACTTTGTATTAATTTAGGAAAATGATTAAGGAAACAAAACATAGCCCTATTCTTTTTTCTAAATTAATGTAGTGGAAGATAAATTAACTTTGTGGAAGATAAAGCAGTTCTAGTTTTTATTACTGTTCTGAAGTTGTCATGAAGTCATTGTGAATGAGTGTTAGCTCCTAGTTTAATAATTACAGCAGCTAGTTTTCTAAATGTAAAATGAAGTCACAAAATAAACAGAACATTAAGAACTGTTTTTAAAGCTGAAACATAATTTTTAAATGCAATAAGTATTTTAATATTGTTATTAACTTTTAACCAATATGTATAAAATGTGTCTATTTAGATGATAATTTTCTTTAGGAAAAAATGTAAGTCACAAAATCAAAAGAATATATTTGGCATTACTTATTAATGCAGATTTTCCTGCTTCAGATTAAATGGCAAAGTCAAGGCTGCTTAAAATTTATACAAACATTATCAACAGAATAATGTTGTTTCAGAGTATGAGATTGGAAATAAAAGTGACACATTTCATAGTTTTAAATTTCTATTGAATATATTGACTGTGAACAAAATCTAGTTGAGTACTACAGATGCATCATGAGGTTCATCATTAACTTTATGGAAATTAAAAAGTCATTAGCTAAAGCATTAAATGTATCCTATTTTAATTTAGAGAGATCATGCTAGCAGCTCAAAGCAGAAAATCTGAGTAATATATGGAGTATTTTATTCATTCCAAATTTAAAAGTTGACTATAATGATACTTTAATTTAGATTTTTTGATCTGTACAACATGAAAACAGCAACAATTAAAAAACACACACACCATTAACCATATGTAATACTAAACAGGAAACCAGAATGGCACTAATTTTCTTACCCCCCCCAAAAAAAAAAAAAAATGCCAAAACTCAATCGCTGTAACATATCCTTCCTTCTCAGTTATTTCACCTGCTGGCTTTCTCATCCTGACACAAATATTAATATCATGAAAGGGTACAAAGAATGCAGCTAAATGTGTTCCAGCTTTAAAGACACTACTACATAAAAATTACTGGGGTTCTTCTCTTTGGCGAGTTTCACAGAAATATTTCACAGGACAAAATGATGAATGGAATTTTCAGGAAACTGTCAAATATCATGGCAGTTCTTTGATGTTTGCTCTCTTCTGTTTGATTGGTTCAGAATACTGGCCTTTTCCTTAATTTCTAGTAACCAGGTGTTATAGACTTTCACTTTTTAATGTGAGTGAAAATTAGATAATTTGGTTATACTTGTGAAAACATGCTCCCCAATAAATCCAATTAATGGGCACTTCCCTGCTGAGAGTTTGTTATCATTCATTTAATTATCTTGTCAAGCTTTGCTGTTCATAACAATTGTTTTGGCTTTTTAGTCAATAAAGTAAGGGAATTTCTCCACCAGCCTTATTACACCTCTCCTGCCCTTGATACCACAGATCCTTCAAATGTCCATCCGAAGTTTCTAAAGAAATTTCCTACTGATGTGGAACATTTGATGGCCAACTTGATTCTTAAGAATTCTGATTTGATTTTATTCTAGCACTTTTCTGTATTTGTTTTCAGGCCAGAAATCAATTCCATTTGATAGGGTTGTGGAGTCTACAGACTGAAATAACCATGTGCAGGGCATAAGTGCCTTTCCCCCTGGGATTCTATTTATACAACTACTGTCTTTTTTTTTTTTTTTTTCAGAACCTGATAATCCAATTTAAAAGGTTGGACAGGATGACCATGTTATAAATTTCCATTAAGAAAATTTTACTTAGGAAAGTCTTTTCTCGCATTTAATTATATTTTTGTATGATATCAAATGGTTCCAAATTTGATATCATACAAAATTTGACTCCTGGAAAAGAGTAAAGTAAATTTTGAAAAGCAACAGTTATTTTGGCACCTGATTTAATGGTTCTTAAGTATGGAAACTTAAATCTCTAACAAGCTTTAACATTTTCCCAAATATTAGGTAAGTTTAATTTAAAAGAAGTCGGAAGTTGTTAGGGACAAACATAAATTAGATAGATACATAAATTTTCTAGTCAATCATTATATATACCATTTGGCATATATACGTCTTAAATACTAAATGGTTTACAGGATACCTATGGCCCTTTCAGGTTCATTTACAGATAACTTTGTATACCTTCCTACATAGAATTTAGTCCTATGGAAAGTCAAACCAAAATGCCAGTAGTTTTGCGTTGAAATGAATGATAACAATTAAAGCTTTAAAAAAAAGTTGTCGTTACAGTAACAAAAACTCAGCTGATAAAATTAAAGCAAAGCAGCTATTTTTTGAATGCCATGTCCAGGGTTGATATCTACATTAGATGGTGTGTTTAAAAGGATTTAGTATTTTTAATTTGTCCTTTCTGCACTCGTATTATTTAGCAAATTAATGGGACATATGTCATAGGTTTTGTAAAAAAGGCCATTGGGCTGTCATGATTCAGTTTGTGTTTAGACATCCATGGCTTTTATTAAAAACAAGTTTATTATCAAAAATAAATATTACTGTGTGTTTCCAAGTTGTGTTGACTATTTTTAAACTCAGAAATAATTTCTTCTCTGTTTGACACACAGAAAAACCTTTCCAAGATAAATGTTCTCTTGCCATTTCTTTGAATTGCCCACACATGTGTTGACAGTTCCGATTTGATGGAAACAATGATATTTTATGGTCTGTTCACCTCTTGGTGAATGCAGGGAGAGAATCCAAAGAGTAAAGTTTGGGAACTTTGATGTAGTAGCTACACAGCCTGTCAGAAAAGAAAGAGAAAAGAGTGAGGAGAAAGAGAAGAAAAATAGGAGTAAGGAAATTAGGGAGGAAAATGGGAAAAAAACCCAAAAACCTCTCAGTTTTAATTGAATGACTTTCTGCCTTCAAATAGTTTTTTTTTAAATAGAGATATGACAGTTTATTAAAAAAGAGAGAGAGAGCAAAGAGATTTAAATAAATCCCTTTAAGCCATAATTATTGTCCTTAGAGAACAAAATTAATAATACTTAGAAAGAAATAAGAAATTTAATCCATGATCCAATTGTGTCACTGGGAACAAACAAACAAAAACCTAGAGTAATTTATTTCTAGTCTTCTACTATCTATTTAATAATGATCTTGGTAGAGAAGACTAAGTGAAGTGCTGGCATCTCTTATCTAAAGATAGCCCAAGATAAGACAAATAAGACATCAAAGAATTTTTCTACACATGGCCTAACAATCAATATTTCCAAATCACTAAATAAAATAATTGGCATTGCTTTGAGGGTCTCTGTGGCCTATATAGGAGCATAATTATCAAATAATCAACTCAAGCACGTTCCAAGAGTGTCACTTTCCACAACAGGGTTTTGATGTTTTGTAGGATTTGATGTTGTTTTATATGATTACATTTTTTCACTACATTTTTACATTTCCTTAGAGATTACAGAATGTTAGAATGTTATTTCTGAGTTCAAAAAAAAAGAAATCCCAATCTATTCTGTAAATGTTCATATGAAAACAGTGTTAAACAATGGAGTGCTATAATTTAATGTACTTATTTTATTTTATTTTTCATTTAATTTTTTTGTTGTTAATCCTCACTAGAGGATATTTTTTCCATTGACTTTTAGAAAGAGTGGGAGGGAGGGAAGGAAAGGGAGAGGGAGAGAGAAAGAAACATCAGTGCAAGAGAGAAGCATCTATTGGTCCCTTCTTGCCTGGGCTCTGACCGACCGGGGCTAGGGATCGAACCTGCAACCCAGGCACGTGCCCTTGACCAGGACTCGAACCCTCGGCCCTCTGTCTGCGGGCCGATGCTCTAACCATGGAGCAACACCAGCCAGGGCTTGATGTACTTCTTACTGCCCCAATCATGGAGAGTTGACTCCAATATCCCTTTAAAACCTTTCTATCTCTTGAAAACATCCGATTTCGCTCTCAGAGGTGGCTTTCCCTGTTCTAGAGGAAATCTTCCCACGTATTGCTGCTGCTTTTTTCATGCCCTCTCAGTTATTAAGCATGCCTTTTCCCCCAAGGGTGTGGAATTTGTGGGAAATGTCTTAAGATGATGTAAATTAGTGGTGCTTCAGGCAGGTTAGAAGCTAGTGGACATCAGTCCAGCAATGAGAGCAACTGGTCATTCACTCGACAAACGATGCCCAGCACTGGCAGGCAGGTGAGTGTCAGACAGCGGGGGAGATCCATGCCTACCTGTTAGCAGGCCGGGGCTGCCCAGCACGGAATAGCTACGCACACTGTTCAGATCACCTTCTGTGCTGTCCACGGAACCAAATCATTTCACAGTGCCTTGTTTTATTTACAAGAGTGGGCATAAGCAGGCTTACGGTTGTGATATTTTAAAATATTTTATGTCTTAAAATGGTAAACATAAAAAACATTATCTGTTGAGTTCACAGTCATATTAATTGAATCCTACTGCTCAAATTTATCAATAAAGGCAGGTATGTATCAATCCTTCCCAATAATAAATATGGCCATGTCTGAAGCCACACTATACTGTGCCAGAATATATCACAGAATATGAAATATTCAGCTTAAAGCTCATCCGATCCAACCACTTATCTAATTTCTTAATCTACCTAGATATGTGGTTATGAACCCCAGCATTGCACAGCACCTCAGTTCTGGGAGGCTAAAGCAGGTGGCTGCATTTGAGACCATTTGGAATTTTTCCCTTATATTGATCAACTGTCTTATTTTTTTCTTCTAAAAGTCCTAAACTCTCCAATTCCTGACCTTTTTCCAAAAATTTGAAGACAACTATCATATCTTGCATGAGTCATTTTTCTTCTCAAAGCAAAAATTCCCATTTTCATTACAAAATAGGTTAGTCTTTTCCCCATTGTAA